AATTTTGGTTCAGACTAAAATGCTCCTAATGACATTTGAAGATGTTTAACATACCATTTATTTAACATAAAAATGCTGACTGTCACTAGTGGTCATACTGAGCCATCCAATAACATTAACAGCTGAGCACAGCTCATTGCTATATTAGCTTTCAGGTCACCTAATTTAGGTTTAAGGAGAAGTATTGGAACTAACCTATGTTTTGGTTATTTCTTTAGACTTTTTCATTAAGAAAAATAAATCATCACTAAAACTACAAATGAAGAGGTTAAGAACAAAGCACATAAATTATTATTCAACCATCTAACCAATGTACTGCTACTGGTTTATATAGTTCATAGATTCTCTCTCTTTTTTCTCTTTGAGAGTGAATGTGTGTGTGTGTGTGTGTGTGTGTATACCTGTCTGTCTCTGGAAAACTCACATGTTTTCAGAGTGGGATAGATAATTGAGTACAAGAGTCATTCCATAGAGTTGTATATTATACTAATTTTCCTTCATGTATGCTGAGATTTCCATGTCATTATTAATACTTTAGATATTCTTTAATAGCCACACAGCAGTCCCTAATTTTGGACTTCATATTACTTCTAATTTTCTTCACTACTAAATAGTGTTTCCAAGAACATTGTTTAATGACCATGAGCCTGAGGTTCTCATTATTTCTCTGGGGTGTGTTTCTCAGAGTCCTTCAAGGGATATAAGTTTGTTGTACTCAGTTTAGTTCCATAAGTTAATAATTCCATCAGCAGCTTCTGAAACTGTCAGTTTCACTGTGTTCTTACCCATACTGATTTTTTTCTTTTAGGTTCAATGATTTGATGTTTAAATGGATACCAAATTACTTTTCAGTAATTAGTGAAAGATAACATAGGATAGGAGTAAACATTTAAAAGCTCATCATTATTCACTGAAATGATACTGATAGGTATTTAACCAATAGCATCACTTTTCCAAAGCAAATTTCTGCCATTCAACAGTAATAAATAACTAAAAATTGTATTGGAAAATAGCAATTTTCTGTATCAAACATAGTGTAAACTGTTTACACTAATTGTTTTGAATTATAGCTAACTTGGTGAATGACAGTTTGATATTTTGTTTGGTTTATAATTTTACTATTGCCAGTGGTGAAAGTTATCTATGACAGATGTATTGATTCTTTGATTTCTCCTTGTAAAACAACAGTCTTTTCAGTAATTCTGCTTTAAGCACAGCATTTGGCATGTCTTGGATATTTGTCTTA